TACCGATCAAATGACCCACCAAAGGATGTCATACTTGGTCTCGACATCGAGTTCGCTAAAGATAAATACACCAACAAATTATTGGCGGGTTGGGTCACTATCTGCTCATCATTGAGTTCAAGAAAGGTTCTCAATATGGGACTTAAAAGTTATGTTATCTTTCATGCATTTGTTAAACTAAATCCATTTGATGTCAACCTAATGACTAGATGGTCCGGTCTTACACGTGATATGGTTACTAATGGTGTTGAACTAAAAGAYATACAAGAAAAAATTGTTTACTATTTGGATAACTACACTATCGTAGGCGTCTCCATTAAAAGTGATTTACAAGTTCTCGGATTTATTGATTATCTCCACAAACCAAATATAAAAGACTTACATGATGTCTTCAAAGGATCAGGTGGTAATAACGATAAAATATCACTTAAAACAATGGCTTACGCTGTCTTCAATAAACGCATACAGGAATACACTATTCCCGTAGACAAAGGTAGACCAATACCACCCGGGCATTCACCACTACAAGACGCTCGTATGTCAGTTAAAATTTATCAACAATACATTGATGGTAAAATAAAACCTGCACTCGACAATTGTGGCAACATGTCGTTTCAATGGATGAGAGACAAAGAGATACTAGATCCGGAAATAATKRAAATTAAACAACAATTAAAAGACAATAAAAAATCCTTTAAATCAAAATAAATAAATTAATTGTTTACACAAATATATTGTTTACACTTATATATACTTTATTTTATTATTGTATAATTTTAGTAATTTGCTMATAACTATWTTATTCAAGGGTATATTTTAATAAYTTTTTATATTTTAATAATCTATACATTAATGTCTATAATTATAGATTAAAATAAAAATTGGGAACTATTGTTTTGTATTTTATTTTTAWTTTTAAAATTTYATAATTTCAATAAATTTTTGTTAAATGTTATATAAAATTACTCATAACTTTTTGAAACAAAGTTAATGTCAACTAWATTAAAATGCTATATTATAGTGCATACTAGGGCCAATAAAAACACATTAAATWAATTTACGGATATTAATAAACMKATATAAAAAATCTAAYAAAAAACAATTCTTATATTATTTTTTAACGAMAAGTTTTAGAAAAACACTYACAACYTTTTAATTCAAGGGTAAAATTAAATATTCATTATTAATTTTATAAACTACAAATAATCTACTAGAATAATAGACTAAAACAAAAACTGGGAATTAATGTCTTGTATTTTAATTTTAAATTCAAATTTTTAAAAATTAAATAAAATTTTGTTAATTGTTATACTAAATGACTCATAACTTTTTAAAACAAAGATAACTTCAAATATATACAAATGCTATGTTATAGTGTATACTAAGGCCTATAATAACACAATAAAAAATATTACGGATATTCACAATTAAATATAGAAATAAATTAAAAACTATTTTTATATGTTATTTTTTGCAAAATATTAGGTTTATAATAGTAAAAACTTTTTAAAACAAGGGTATAATTTATAATTTGTTTTTGTTTTTATATACTACAGATAATAGTCTAAAACAATAGTTAAAAACCAAAATTGGATATTAATAATTAAATTAAGAATTTAATAAAATTGTAATTTTATTTATACCAATTTTTGTTATAAAAAGTGACAATAATAGCTATAACTTTTTTATTCAAATATATTTTTATAAATTAATTTTTATTATTAAATTTACATTTTGGTTGTCTATAAATTAGCATTAATTAAAAAATTGGGAATTATTTCAAAATAATTAAAAATTCAACTTTTGTATCAAATTAATTTTTTGAAAATTTTAATTAGACATTACATTTTATCTTATAACTTTCTTATTCAAAGGTATTTTGAATAAATTGTTTTTATAACTTAATAGCTCATTTAATAAGCTACAAATTAACATAAATAAAAAAATTGGGAAATAATTACTAATAATTAAAAATTTAATTTTAATAGTAATTTAATAAAAAATTTTACAAAATAATGATCACATTTTTTATCATAACTTTTTTATTCAAGGGTATTTTATAATTTTTATTGTCATTAAGATAATCACAAATAAATTCTCTATAAAATAGACCTAATTAAATAATTGGTAATTATTATCAAAATAGTTTAAAACAATTAAAACTATCAAAATTACACAAAAATCCCGACTTCAAGCCTATGCAAAGCTAACGATTTTTTTGTTTATTACGACCCAAATTAATTTTTATTTTTTTTTATTTTTTATTTAAATACACTAATTTATTGCTAAAATAACCTAAATAAATGTGATAAAAGTTAATTGTGCTTTTATTTTAGTTTTTTTTAACTATTAATAAAAATGTATTGCAAACCCGATATCGAGCCTATGTAAAGCTCATTGTTTTTTTTTAATTTTTAATTTAAATGCAAAAGTTTATTAAACCTAATTTTATTTTTTATGACCTATTATTTAAATTAAATTTAAAATCTTAGATAAAAACAAAATTTTATTTATTTTATTATTTTAATTTTAATTATTAATTTAATTAACTTTTAAATAGGTTATATGGAAATTTTATTTTCTTTATTTTAACCTAATATTTAAATTATGTCAAAAGTTTATTTAAATATAATTATAATTTCTTTATTTAATACAACACAAACATAAAATTAATTCATTTAAGATGTGTCTGTTGTTCATAACAGTCATTCTTATTGTATTTGTTATACCATTAATTCGCTATTATGTTTTAAATTATATGTGAATTAAAATGTTTTTAATTTGTTTAATTTTGTTTAAAATTATTTCAATTATTCTCTGTGTCCGTACCGATTATATTGAAATTAAAACAACTCCAAATGAAACAACATTTCCGTTGAACACTAATTATGAAGTGGAGACGGTTCTCGACCAACACACCGTACTTATAATAAATACCCGATGTGACATCTTATATACAAATATTTTAATAGAGTAATTAGTTTTCAATAGAGAGAGAGAGAGAGAGAGAGAGAGAGAGAGAGAGAGAGAGAGAGAAATATAAGAATAATAAAAAATTTATTTTTAAAGTTTATTTTAATTTATTTTTAAAAAGTTTATTTTAATTTATTTTTAAAAAGTTTATTTTAATTTATTTTTTAAATATATATTTATAACAGATATATAGTAAAAGAAAGAGAGAGAGAACAGAGAGAGAGATAGAGAGAGAGGCGATTTCTGTTACGTTGAACGCGCCGGCAATCGAGCGCCCGAAGATTGGCCGAAACTGGTGGTCCGTTTCATCTGGACGCTGGTTTCGGTAGCCGAAGCCAAAAAGGTTATCGACCGTTTTGTTGACGCGGGTCTCCCCTTCGTCTTTACCGAAATCCGTTCCAACGAGGCTTTTGTTTGGCTCTCCGGGCCCGAGGATGCGGCTATTTGGGAGGTGACCGCTTTGCGGGGCGTCCGCCGCGTTGAGAAAGCCTATGACCGATGTTGGAATATCTAAAACGGGTGGGAAATGTCGACCACTTCATAGATGTCTCTATTTCTCTCTCTCTCTCTCTTTCTTTAATATACTATAAATACTGTATTGTTTTCACACGTTTTGTATCATTTTTCGTATCAATCGCTTTAATAAACGTTATATTTTAACGCTAAATATACGCGTTTTTATTACCAAAAATATCGGTCACTATTGGCCGACAATATCAATGTCGAAATGGACATATTACTTGTAATAATTGTTTGCCTGAATTACACAATAACTGTCCGGTTTGAAGCGATATAACTGAAATTAATAATATAATTAAAACTGGACATTTTCTGGACATTTAAATCTTGCTATTGAATATAACTGTACAAAATCGTCGATTAAATGTAACAAAAAAATAAAATTCACCATAAAATTCTTCTACAAATACAGCTTTGCACTGTTATTTTTTAAAATAAAATTTATTTTTATTACAAGAACACTATACTATGTTACAAATATTTCTTTATTATAATTTATTTTCGTTACAAGAACGCTATACTATGTTATTATAATTTAATAATTAAGCATTTATATAATAAAATAATACAATAACAAAATTATAAAACGATAATATTAAAATATTATCTTTATATATTATTTTAATATAATTTATTTTATTACAAGAACACTATACTATGTTATTATAATTTTAAATATTATAATTTAAAACTGTGCGCTCTTTTGATTTTTAGTCGTCAATTGAACGTCAAAAGTGCAAATCTGTAAGTCGACAAATATATTACATTATTTTATATACACTGTAATATTTAATACAAGAACGCTATACTATATTATTATAATTTAAAAATTAAAACATTTATATATAATAAAATAATTCAATAAAAAATTTATAAAAGACAAGAACATAATTATTATATTTTTAAAAAATTTTATTACAAGGAATCTACACAATGATCTATATTTTATTTTAGAGAAATGTTAAAAGATTAATTTTATATTTTCTATTTAATTTTTTTATATAAATGAATTTTTAAAGGTATGTATTATTAAGATTCTTTATTAAAAATTATATTTAATTACATTATTTATTATTATTATTATATATTAGTAATTCTAATTAGTTATTAAAAAAATAAATTATAGCTTAAAATACGTAATTTAAATAATAATTTTTTTTTATCTATATTTAAGATTTTATATATGAAATACTTATAAAAACAAATGTTATTGATTTATATATAATATTTAATAATACTGTAATAAAAAGATTGTTATAACTGTATAAAAGAAAACAATTTTATTATTAGTTATCTATTTAAGACATAAAACACATGAATAGTAATCACATAAATAAAGTTGTGTTGTGTTTACAAAATAAATCATTTTGTAAATAATTTAATAATTTAATATATTATTTATGTAGTGATAACCCCTCGGATTGTTTACAAAACAAACCAATTTTTTTGTTGACAATTATTATATGTTTTTTAAATTCATTGATAAATAAATTGTAAATTATTTTTTTGTTTTGATTTGAAAACAATGGTTAAGAGGAAGAAGAAACCAATTACTAAAAGTGATTCATTGATGGCTGACATTGAAGTCAATGATTTGTTTAGTGAATTGTTGGCCGAAAATAAAAGACTTGTTAATGTATTGAATGAATTGAAAAGTTATTTGAAAATAATTCACAAGAAATACGAGACAATGATTACTGACGAAGATATCAAACAGTGGCAGACATTACAACAATCAATGGATACAACTGTAGAGGAATACAATAGTAATAATAATCTAAGAGTTAAGCTGAAGAATAAAATTGATTTGAATAGGAAATCAAGTGATGGAAAACAATCGGCAAATAATGATAACAACATTGATGTCAATGAAGAAGACACCAATCAATTGTCAGTACAATCTCTGTGTCAGACAACTATCACCACAAGTGAAGTGTCAAAAACAGAGACAATTCGTAGAAGTAGTCGTAACACAAATAGTAAACCATGCGATGACTATCAGAGACGCAGCCGCCAGCCATACGATTGCCGACACACTGATTGTGGCCAACAGTTTAAACTGAAGTCACAGTTAACTCGTCATTACAGTGAATATCATGCGGACAACGACGACGACACGTCACTTGAGCACACGTGTCACGTGTGCGACAAGACATTCAAACTGGCGGTTCAATTGCAACGACACGTGAATAGACATGAAATGAGCCGACGGTCGGCATACAAGTGCTCGGAATGCGGCAGATATTTCACTACTAAGAGAAATCTCGAAAGACACCGACAGACTATACATTTGATTGTTAATGTCGGCCAAACCACTGGTCGTACGCCAGATACCGAACCCGACAGATGCCTGACTGAGTTTACTCAGCAAACGTTTGACCCGAAAACACGAAAATACATTTGTCCCGACAACGGATGTGGATTGCCGTTCAATACGGCCAGAGGTGTCTACAATCACTTTATCGAAACGCACGACACGACCACTACTGACTGTCTACCACTTGATGATAATAATGATGTTTGTAGTAGTGATCGACAACTACTAGTACTGTTGAGGCAAAACAATTTCGATGAGTCGACCGAACGATATTTGTGTCCATTTACCGACTGCGACCGTACGTACGCAACAAATCGTAATCTTAGTCTTCATTTTCAAGCGGTTCACTACAAGCCAAACGATAGACCGTATGTTTGTCGGGTGGCTGACTGTGGTAAGGGATTCAAACGCAAGTATATACTGAAAGAGCATATGAAGACACACGACTCGGATCGGCCGAAAGCCTACCAGTGCTCGCATTGTCCGAAATCCTATTTCAAAGAGTATCAGCTAAGACAGCACATGAGTTTCAGACATCTGAACGAACGTATACTAAAGTGTGCGATCAATGGTTGCGACGAATGGTTTGGTACAACACATCAGCGGGCAGTTCACCGACAGTCGGCCCACAACATGAACTATGCATTGAAATATCCAACTGATCGGCACCGATGCCAGTGGCCTGGCTGTGACTTTACCGGTAACTGTTTGGCAGTTATACGTTATCATACCCGTATACATACTGGTGAACGGCCGTACGGGTGTCAGTGGCCAGAGTGTGACAAACGATTTCGGACTAAAAAAGACTACAATCGTCATTATGTTTGTCATGAAAATCTGAAACCCTATATCTGCCAGTGGCCCGGTTGTGACTATCGGGGCAATTGTAGTGCCAATCTAGTGGTCCACAAAAAGATACATCAAAGACAACAACAACACCTATCAAGTGATACTACAATTATGACAACAATTATCAATCAATAGTTAGAATTAGAAATAATAAAATTTTATAAATGTATTAACCTATTAATATAACTTCAAAAAAAAGTATTCAAATTATGTACAAAATATTTCAAATAACTTTACCGGTAATTAATGTAATTTATTTTAGTTTATTTTGAAAACATTTCATATCGATTGTCATATGAGTGTTGTTTTAATAAGTTTTAAATTATATTACTATATATTTTTATATTGTAATATAAATCAATGACATTTTTTTTAAAAAAGAAAATAATAAATTATATAAATAGTTTACTAATTAAAAATATAATTATTACAGGTATTTTTTGTGACACTGACTGTAATGATGATGTAAATGGGCTTTCATTTTGAACCGTTTGCCGCAATCTTCGTGTCGGCAAACAAACGGTCGGTCATCGGTGGCCATACTATTTGTTTGCACCGACAACAATGATGTCTTCCGATTCTTATCATCGCTGATGATGACGATATCATTTACCGTTTGTTTTATTTTTTCATTTAATTCGCTTTTATTGTGATTTGTTTTGTCAGTTTCAAGACTTACTGCAGTATTGTAGTCATCGATGACTGCAGTGTCCATCCATTTCTGTTGCAATGTTTGCCACCGATTTAAATCTTCGGCGTCAATCAGCTCTTCATATTTCTTGTAAACCAAATTCATCTGATCTTTCATTTCAGTCAAACATTTGTTTGTAAACAACAATTCATTGACGAGTCTGTTGTTTTCAGCGGTCAGTTCATCGAACAGATCTTCGACTTCAATACTAACAACCATTGGATCAATTTTGGTGATAATTTTTTCTTTAAAATAAAATAAATACTTTTCTATAGATATGATATTGTTTTCAATCATTTGTCACATAATTATTGTTTACACAAACATAAACAATACATTTTTTTTGTGGGGGACTTTTCATATATTGAAATACAATATTAATAAAATTTAAAAAAAACTATTATTATATTCAATATTATTAAGTAATAAATTAAAGTTATATATAAAAAAAAATTTTATATAAATAATTTATTAAACATGTTTTCAATCTAATTAGCTAAAAAGCAGATAATTTATTAATTGTAAATATTATTATTTATCTATTTATTTATATGTACAGTATTATATGTTATATATGTTTAATTTAATTAAAGTTAGATATTATTTTCGTAGTTTTTATTTTTTATTTTAAAGATTTTATTATATTTATAAATACTATTACTAATAATAATATGATACAAATATACAGTGTATAGAAAAATATAATATAATTAGCTATTAGTTGTTAATGTTGTAGTATTAGCTGATTGTTGTTGTTGTTGTTGTCTTTTATGTATTTTTTTGTGTGCATAATAATTGCTACTACTATTGCCCCGGTATTCACAACCGGGCCATTGACATACATAGGGTTTCAAATTTTTATGACAAATCATATGTTTATCGTAGGCTGCCTTCAAACGAAACTGTTTGTCACACTGTGGCCACTGACACATAAACGGTCGCTCACCGGTATGTATACGCGTATGATCTCTCAGATGGGTAACAGTACCGCACCGATACTCACAGCCGGGCCATTGACACGAATGTTTGTCCGGTAGTTTTCTCAGTGAATACTTCATATTGTGAACAGTCTGTCGATGGACTGTCCGCTGATGTATATTAGTAAACATCGACTGGCAGTCATCGATACCACACTTTATTTTTTCATCCATATGTTTGATATTAAAATGATTGGTTAGATCGCATTCATTGAAGTATGATTTGTCACACTGTGAGCACTGGTAGGATTTGCTACGATTTTCATCGTGTGTTTTCATATGTTTATTCAGTGAACTTCGTTTATTAAATCGATTACCACAGTCAGGATGGGTACAACTGAACGGTTTATAATCGGGTTTATAGTGATTGTTGCGAAAGTGAACCTCAAGACTATGTTTATAGCCGTAACTGCGATCACAGCCGACAAATGGACACAAAAATCGTTGTTTTTGGTCGTCAAACGTACAGTTCTTTAACAGTAGTAATAGTTTTCGATCGGATTCACGAATCGCCGGTAATATTTGGCTATCATTTTCCTGACAAACTTCCTCATCATCTTCAGTGATGGCGTTTTGTCGATGAATTTCCTGATAGTGTTTGTATAGACTTTTGGCGTTACTGTACGGCAGTCCGCAGCCGACTGCAGGACATATGTATTGTCGGGTTTTCAAATCAAAAGTGTTTTGTCTGAACACAGTGTAACCAAAATCAGATCGTCCGGCATCAGTATCGTCGGTTTGGTCCAGACTATTGTACATCAAATGTATGGTCCGCTGGTGTCGCCTAAGACATAGTTTATTAGCAAAACATTTGTCGCATTCTGAGCACTGGTATGATCGGTGACTGTAGTAATGTGTTCTCAAATGATTTGCCAGATGTGCCTTAATTTTAAATGTCTTTTCACACACATGACAGCTGTTGATGACTGTTGTTGTTGATGATGATGTCTCGTGACATCTGCGTGAGTGTTGATTCAGTTGGACTTTCAGTTTAAACCGTTGACCACAATCCTTGTTTAGGCACTCGTATGGCCTGCTCTTGTAGGCATCACATGACTTATTTGTCTTACGTTTACTAGTCTTGAGTTTTGTCTTCAACTTTGACACTTCACTTGTCGTGATAGTTGTCTGAGACAGAGGTTGTACTGACAATTGATTGGTGTCTTCTTCTTCATTGACATCAATGTTGTTATTACTATTTGCCGCTAGTTTTCTATCACTTGATTTCCTATTTAAATCAATTTTATTCTTCAGCTTAACTCTTACATTATTATTACTATTGTATTCCTCGACAGTTGTATCCATTGATTGTTGTAATGTCTGCCACTGTTTCATATCTTCGTCGGTAATCATTGTCTCGTATTTCGTGTGAATTGTTTTCAAATAACTTTTCAATTCATTCAATACATTAACAAGTCTTTCATTTTCGGCCAACAATTCACTAAACAAATCGTTGACTTCAATGTCTGCCATCAATGAATCACTTTTAGTAATTGGTTTCTTCTTCCTCTTAACCATTGTTTTCAAATCAAAACGAAAATAATTTACAATTTATTTATCAATGAATTTAAAAAATACATAATAATTGTCAACAAAAAAATTTGGTTTGTTTTGTAAACATAGCACTTGTTTTTTGAGGGGTTTTCACTTTAGTTACTATTTTGCAAAACTTTTATTTATTAAAAAATAGTATTATTACAGTATATATTTTGTTTGATAAGTAAAGATAACATTTTTTTATTAATAATTATTTTATCTATTATATACATATATACAAATTTAGTTAAATTATAATATATTTTTTAAAATAAATATTTTAGTAAATATTAATGAAATAAAATATGCTATAAGACTATTATTGAAAAATTTTAATTTAAAATATAAATATAAATAATAATATATTCATACAAATTTAATATACTATTAGCTATTATTAATTGATTTTGTCTTTATTGTTGTATTAGCTGATTGTTAAATTATTAATTTACTATAAATGAAAGAGAAATTAAATATTTAATTTACCGTAAAATCGTGTTTTTATTCCCATAAGGAATTAAAAAAAATGAAAAAAAAATTTTTCATATGGGAAAAAAACTCGTATTTTTTACCACCCCTGGTAAATTAAACGAGTCTATAGGGAAAAGCAAAATTGGGGGAATAGGGAGCTGTAATGACAGGTATTACCGGTAACTAATATTCAATAAAAACTTCATTTATATTTTATTTAAAAATAACTATCGGTAGAGTAAATAATCGGTAATCTGGTTGTTGACTGTTGAGAACTGGTACCTGTGTTGTCGGGCAATACATTTGTGTCAAATATCGGTAATCTGATTGATGGCCATAGAGAACTGGTACGGTGTTGTCGGGCAATACATTTGTGTCAAATATCGGTAATCTGATTGATGGCCATAGAGAACTGGTACGGTGTTGTCGGGCAATACATTTGTGTCAAATATCGGTAATCTGATTGATGGCCATAGAGAACTGGTACCGGTGTTGTCGGGCAATATATTTGTGTCAAATATCGGTAATCTGATTGATGGCCATAGAGAACTGGTACCGGTGTTGTCGGGCAAGACATTTGTGTCAAATATCGGTAATCTGATTGATGGCCATAGAGAACTGGTACGGTGTTGTCGGGCAATACATTTGTGTCAAATATCGGTAATCTGATTGATGGCCATAGAGAACTGGTACCGGTGTTGTCGGGCAATATATTTGTGTCAAATATCGGTAATCTGATTGATGGCCATAGAGAACTGGTACGGTGTTGTCGGGCAATACATTTGTGTCAAATATCGGTAATCTGATTGATGGCCATAGAGAACTGGTACCGGTGTTGTCGGGCAATATATTTGTGTCAAATATCGGTAATCTGATTGATGGCCATAGAGAACTGGTACCGGTGTTGTCGGGCAATATATTTGTGTCAAATATCGGTAATCTGATTGATGGCCATAGAGAACTGGTACGGTGTTGTTGGGCAATACATTTGTGTCAAATATCGGTAATCTGATTGATGGCCATAGAGAACTGGTACGGTGTTGTCGGGCAATACATTTGTGTCAAATATCGGTAATCTGATTGATGGCCATAGAGAACTGGTACCGGTGTTGTCGGGCAAGACATTTGTGTCAAATTATGGTCATTACGTTGACCGCTGTTGATCACTGGTACCGATGTTGTCTGATGACATTTGTGTCAGATATCGGTAATCTGGTTGATGGCCATTGATTAGTGGTACCGGTGTTGACTGATCAAACATTGGATTCAAATATCGGTAATCTGTTTGTATGTCATTGATCACTGATATCGGTGTTGTCTGAGCAGACATTGGTGTCAAACATCGGTCATCAGGTTCAGCGCTATTGATCACTGGTACCGATTGTGGTTAATAGCCGCCGATTTGTGGCCATTAATTACAAACAATTATCGGTAATTATATGTTTGATAGTTATTAAACGGTTTTTACGGGTATATAAATTAAAAACTTTTTAAAAATAAATGATATATTGATTTGTATTAAAAACACGTTTTTTAAAACATTTATAAAATAATTTACAGTTTTTTTATTACCGTTAGTTATATTAATATAAAAACATATACAGTTAAAATCATAAATCGGTCAATAGATGGCATATTAATAGGATTGAAACTTTTTGAGACATCCAAATATAAGGGGTGGGAAATTTTAAAATGTATTAAAATCAGGGGGTGGGAAATTATTTTTAAGTTAAAAAACTATTTTTTCATATGGGGAAAAACTCGCATTATTTCCCATGACTCAGACATTTCCATATGGGAATAAAAACACAACTTAACGGTAAGTTATTATTATATTATGGTTACGGTATTATTAAGATTTCAATCATTTAAAATTTACAATTTGGTACCAATAATAACGAATATTACCGGTAATTATGAAGTATTATTTTTTTACAAAATTTAATACTAATCAGCCGTCGGTATTGTACTATCAGCTGCTGATTGTTGTTGTTGTTGTCTTTGATGTATCTTTTTGTGTGCATACAGATTGGCACTACTATTGCCCCGATAGTCACAACCGGGCCATTGACATACAAATGGCTTGAGATTTTGATGACATATAACGTGTCGTTTGAGACAAGATTTACTAGAAAATCGTTGTTGACAGTCTGGCCACTCGCACCCGTACGGCCGTTCACCCGTATGCTTACGGTAGTGACACCTAAGATGACAAGCTGATTGACTACGAATCTCGCAACCGGGCCAGTCACACAAAAAGTTGCCCGGCTTATTACGGTCGGCATATTTCATTTGATGTACTTGTTGTCGATGGATTGACCGATGATGGTCACGGGTGAACATTGTTGTACAACCATTTATACCGCACTTAAACTTTTTCTTTAAGTGTATAATATTAATATGTTTGGTTAGATCGCATTTATTTATGTATGCTTTGTCGCATTGTGAGCACTGGTAGTTTTTGGTACGGTTTTCATTGTGTGTATAAATATGTTTATTAAATGTAGCCCTTTTGTCAGTTCGATAATTGCAATCGGGATGCGGACAACTAAACCGTTTGGTGTATGGTTTGTAGTGATAGTTGCGAAAGTGTTCATCAAGCATATGTTTAGTTCGGTAACTTCGGTCGCAGTCAGTAATTGGACACAAAAATCGTTGAGTTTTATCATCAATCGTACAGTTTTTCAACAATAACAATAGTTTGCGATCCGATTCGCAAATATCGGACAACGATTTCCTATTATTTTGCGAACAAACTTTTTCAACCATTTTGACAGTTCCAGCAATTTGTCGATGAAATTTCCGATAGTGTCTGAATAGTCTCAATGGTGTAGTGTATGGCAGAGCACATCCTACTGCTGGACATATGTACTGTTGGGTTATCGAATCATAGGTTTTTTCCAGAAACAAATCGTCCACATAATAATCAGATAGTCGGTCACAATCATCAGTATTACCGGTTTGATTGTTGTGTTGGACACCGCTATGAGTTGTCTTGAGTTTTGCCAATTCATTTGCGATGGCAGTTGTCCGCAGATAGAAAATTTCTCCTTCTTCTAATTGATCATCGGCTGAGTCGTCACTGATATCAATCACATTATCATTAGTTTCTGACTTAATTATGTCGTCAATTGAATCCTGTAGTCTGTCATCAGTATTGTCAGCGTATTGATTGTTGTCTTGGATTTTACACTTCGTGTTACTTATATGACTAGTACTTCCATGAATTGTCTCGGGTTTTGGCGTTTCATTTGTGGTCAAAGTTAGCATTTCTTCTTCTTTGTCATCTTCATAATTGATTTCCTCATTGTCTTCATTGATATCACAATCATAATCACTATTTTCTGATTGTTTGTCATCAATTGAATCGTGTAGTCCGTTGTCATGGATTTGGTTTATATTATCATTAGTTAAACGTTTGGCTTTTGTGTTTTGCCAAAGAGATAGCTTATTGTACAGAAACTTGTTGTACGGCCGGCTCTGGTAGTCATCCAACAGATTACTTGTATTACTATTATTAGTTTTGTCGCTAGAATTTGCTTCTGGCTCTTGAATACTAGTGGTGACAGTCGTCTGACACAGAGGTTGTACTGACAATTGATTGGTGTCTTCTTCATTGACATCAATGTTGTTATTACTATTTGCCGATTGTTTGCCATCAATTGATTCCCGATTTAATTCATTATTTTTCTTCAGTTTAATAACTCTCAGACTATCATTACTATTGTATTCTTCGACAGTTGTATCCATTGATTGTTGTAATGTCTGCCACTGTTTGATGTCTTCGTCGTCAATCATTGTCTCGTATTTCGTGTGAATTGTTTTCAAATAACTTTTCAATTCATTCAATACATTAACAAGTCTTTCATTTTCGGCCAACAATTCACTAAACAGATCGTTGACTTCAATGTTAGCCATCAATGAATCACTTTTAGTAATTGGTTTCTTCTTCCTCTTAACGATTGTTTTCAATCAAAACGAAAATTAATTAACAATTTATTTATCAATGAATTTATAAAAACACATAATAATTGTCAACAAAAATATGTTATGTTTTTATAAACATAACACTTATTTTTGAGGGGTTTTCACTTTATTTACTATTTTGTGAAATTTCATCACATAGTTTGTAAACTAACAGTAAAAATAATTATTTATTATAATAAATTAGTTATTAAATTATTATATATATATATCTTTTAATAAATAAATGTAAAAATTAATAATTATTTTTATCTATATATACAAATTTAGTTTAATTATAATATATATTTAAAAATAACTATTTTAGTAGATATTAACCAAATAAACTATAAATTAACAAAAATATGCTTAAAATTATGTTACGGTACTACATGTTACTACAGTATTAAAATATAATAATTCAATTTATATGAATTTACAGTACAATTAACTATTACCGTAATAATAATAATAATAATAATAGGTTTTGTCTTTATTGTATTATTATTATCTGATTGTTGTTGTTGTTATTGTCTTTGATGTATCTTTTTGTGTGCATAATAATTGCTATGACAATTGCCCCGATAGTCACAACCGGGCCATTGACATACATATGGCTTGAGATTTTGATGACATATAACGTGTCGTTTGAGACCAGTTTTGCGTGCAAATCGTTGTTGACAGTCTGGCCACTCGCACCCGTACGGCCGTTCACCCGTGTGCTTACGGATATGATCCCTAAGATTGGTATCTGATGTACTACGATAGTCACAACCGGGCCATTGACATATATACTTGGCCTGCTTAGTGCGGTCGGCATATTTCATATGATGTACTGATTCTCGATGAAGTATCCGACTATGGCAAGTGGTAAACATTGTCGTACAACCATTTATACCACATTTAAACTTTTTCTTTAAGTGTTTAGTATGTATATGTTTGGTTAGATTGGATTTACTTAGGTATGATTTGTCGCATTCTAAGCACTGGTAGTTTTTCGTACGGTTGACATTGTGTATCTCTATATGTATATTAAATAAATCTCGTCTATTTGTACGATAATTGCAATCGGGATGCGAACAACTAAATCGTTTGGTGTGTGATTTGTAGTGATTATAGCGAAAGTGTTTCTGAAGAATGTGTTTAGTTCGGTAACTTCGGTCGCAGTCAGTAATTGGACACAAAAATCGTTGGGTTTTATCATCGATCGTACAGTTCTTCAACAATAACAATAGTTTGCTATCGGATTCGCAAATATTGGACAATGATTTCTTGTGTTGATTACTTGTATTACTACTAGTCTCGACGTTAGAATCTGCTTCTGGCTCTTGAATACTAGTGGTGACAGTTGTCTGACACAGAGGTTGTACTGACAATTGATTGGTGTCCTCTTCATTGACATCAATGTTGTTATTATTATTTCCGGATTGTTTGCCATCAGTTGATTCCTTATTTAAATGAATCTCTTTCTTCAGTTTAATAACTCTCAGACTATAATTACTATTGTATTCCTCGACAGTTGTATCCATTGATTGTTGTAATGTCTGCCACTGTTTGATGTCTTCGTCGGCAATCATTGTCTCGTATTTCGTGTGAATTGTTTTCAAATAATTTTTCAATTCATTCAATACATTAACAAGTCTTTCATTTTCGGCCAACAATTCACTAAACAAATCGTTGACTTCAATGTAAGCCATCGATGAATCACTTTTAGTAATTGGTTTCTTCTTCCTCTTAACCATTGTTTTTAAATCAAAACAAATTAATTAACATTTTATTTATCAATGAATTTAAAAAACATATAATAATTGTCAACAAAAATATATGTTATGTTTTGTAAACATAACAATTATTTTCAGGGGTTTTCACTTTATTTACTATTTTGTATTATTTAATCGCTTATTTGCAAAACAGTATTACAAAAAAATATATATAAACTTTATATTAAAACAATAATTAACATAAAAATTGTAATTTTCAATCTTTAGATCCATAAAAATTTTATAAATTATTTTTTTTATTAATATTTATGTATATATTAAAGATACCTATGTTTTTACAGACACTTTATCTTAACTTATTTTAAATTATACACATGTTTTGTGTTTGAAAAAAAATTATTATGTGTACTAATGAATTAAATTGAATAATTAGTGGAAACAATAATCAAAATATTAAATTAGTTGAAACTGAAGTTATATTAAAAATAAATAAATCATTAATTTACTATAAATGAAAAAGAAAATAATAAGTTATTATTATATTATGGTTACGGTATTATTAAGATTTCAATCATTTAAAATTTACAATTTGGTACCAATAATAACGAATATTACCGGTAATTATGAAGTTTTATTTATTTATTACAAAATTTAATACTAATCAGCCGTCGGTATTGTAGTATCAGCTTCTGATTGTTGTTGTTGTTGCTCCTGTTGTTGTTGTCTTTGATGTATCTTTTTGTGTGCATACAGATTGGCACTACAATTGCCCCGATATTGACAGCCGGGCCACTGGCAGACAAATGGTTTTAGATTTTTATGACACGTAACGTGTCGTTTGAGATCAGCTTTCCGGGCAAATCGTTGTTCACAGTCTGTCCACTCGCACTCGTACGGACGTTCACCAGTATGGATACGGGTATGGTCTCTCAGATCGCCAGTGGACGAACACTTGTAGTCGCAACCGGGCCACTGGCACTGGTGTTTATCGGGTATATACTTTTTGGCGTAATTCATATTGTGTACAGATTTTCGATGAGTAGATCGCTGGTCAAAGTTATAGAATCGGTGATCGCAACCATCGATACCGCATCGGATCATCTTTTTGTTTAGATGTCTGAAATTTGTATGAAGTGTTAGTTCGGCTCTAGTAAAGTATGATTTGTCGCATTCCGAGCATTGGTGGTCTCGCCTACGATTGGCATCGTGTGTTACCCGATGTCGTCGGAGCATAACTTTTGTCTTGAATCCCTTACCGCAATCGGGTTCGGGACAAACAAACGGTTTGCGATCCGGTCGATAGTGCATCCGAATGAAGTGCTGTTCATAGTATTTATTTGTACCGAAATTACTGTCACAGCCGGGATAGGGACAAACAAATCGTTGCGTAGTCTCATCGAAACGATTTTGTTTCATCAGTAGTAACAGTTGCCGATCGGCTTCAGAATTATCGGCTGCGGCGCTGCCAAACACTTGATCGCCGCCGCCACTAACGCCACTGTTGCCGCCATCACTTTGTACTAAACAATCGGCTAAACCTTGTTTGCCGTGAACTTCTTTCATATGATTGTAGAGAGCGGTAGCGTTATTGTACGGCAATCGGCAGCCGGAATCGGGACATATAAACTGTTTGGTTTGCTTATCAAAGTATTTGCGTCTGAATTCGGTCATTTCGTCATTGGATTCGATGACATCCATGGACAGTGATGTATCACCACCGCCGCCTCCGCCGGTTTGTTGGTCATCACCACTACAACCATCAGCGACGCCAACACCACCACCACCACCAGTGGTGATCATAAAGTGCATCTTTTCCAGATGTTTCTTCAGTATCATTCTGCTCGACAAATATTTGTCACATTCAGAACACTTGAACGTCTTCTTTCGCAGCTCATGAGTGGCCAAATGTTTTGTCCATTTGTTGATTTCTGTAAACCGTTTCTGACACACGTCGCACACATACTCGCCGTTCTTATGAAACTTGCCGTAGTGTACATGCAATGCAATCTTCAATTTGAATCGTTGGCCACAGCCCTGCTGTCGGCAAACGTACGGATAGTTTTGTGCATTTCGTACGGCTTTACCCATATGTGTCGTCAAGCGGCTAATGGCCACGTCTTTTGATCGGATAATAGTTGTCGTTTTTATCGTATTGTTGCTGTCGTCCAGCGATTGTTGCAATTGTTTCCATTTAGTCATATCTTCGGCAAATATAAACGGTTCGTATTTCTTGATCAACCAATTCATCTGATCTTTCATTTTGTTAAGCGTTTGGTTTTCATACAACAATTGACTGTTGATATACTGATTGTCTTTATTACTCTTTGATAGTAGTGATGGTGATGATGATGATAAAGTCTTTCGCCGAGTTTTAGTCTTATTATTATTATTATTGGTATTATCATTACCGCCGATGATATGACTAAATGCTTTCTTAATGTCTTGACTTAGATTTCTATTGAATTCTCTGGTCTTCACGTTATTGATCTTCAAGTGACTAAATGAACACATAGTAAATCCATCGACAGTTGTGTCCACCGATTTCTGTAATGTTTGCCATTGGCTGATATCTTCGGCCTGAATATGTTCTTCATATTTCTTGTGAACCAAATTCATGTGATCCTTCAGTTCGGTTAACAAATTCAGACATTTGTTTGCAAACAACAATTCATTGACCAGTCGTTTGTTTTCGGCCATCAGTTCATCGATTACATCGTCGACATCGATATTATTGTTGTTGTTAGACATGTTGTTGTTTGGATCAGCTGTTGTTTTGATGGTCACCTCTTCTACTGTATTATCCATTTGTTTGGTTTTGTTTTAAATTCATTAATTAAGTCAATAAATAAAATAATTATCACTTTATATATCAATCAATCAATCAATGAATTGTTAATACAATTAACACAACATTTAATATAAAATATTTTTTTTGAATCATTTGTCACAAAATTATTACAGTATTTATTACAGTATTATAAACATAAACAACACATTTTTTGGGGGACTTTTCATATATTGAAAAAATCAAAACGTTTTGTTTGATTATTAACTTAACAAACTTTAATATAAGTTTATTTATGATTTTATAATAATATTAGTTTAAAAAAACAATATTTTAATCAATAATAATTATTATTACACATTTTGTTTGTTTGTTTGATTTCTATTTTAATATTATATCAAATATGATTAAAATAAAAATAAACTAATTAAATAAATTATATAATTTAATTAGAAAAAATACTATAATACAATTTATAACAATAATAATAATAATACTATCGGTACTAATAATAATAACAAATTATGATGATATACCGGTATGTTTTTTATGTACACATTTTGTATGATTAACAATATTTCCATAACAAGTGGCCCGGTATTCACAACCCGGCCATTGGCATCCATAGGGCTTAACATTCAGATGATAGTTATAGTGTTCCCTAAAGTCGGCTCTATTGCGAAATCGTTTGCCACATTCGGGCCAATCGCAACCGTACGGCCGTTCGCCGGTATGTATGCGAGTGTGTAATGCAAGCAATGGTTTTTTTGTTGTCTTGTACTCACACCCGGGCCACTGACACGGATAGTCGCCTAGTGTTACCTTAATCGGTGCGTATTTGAAATTATGAACAGACATCTTGTGTTTTCTTCGTTGCGAATAATTTTTGAATATTTCGTCGCAACCGTCGATATCGCAGCGCAACTGATTGACCAGTGAATGATTGAATCGTCGGTGATTGGCCAGTGTTCTATCGCACAGATACGACTTTCCACATTCCGGGCACCGATAGGTTGGCCGATTGGTGGCGTGTATAGTCTGATGGAGTTTCAGTTTGCATTGGGTTTTGAACGCCTTTCCGCAGTCTGGCTCCTGACAAACGTACGGCGAGTCCGACGAATGCGATAACAAATGCCTTCTCAAATGCTTTCTCTGGATATACTGTTTGTCGCAGCCGTCGTAATGGCAAACATATCGTCGGACCAATCGTTCCTGTTTTCGCCGATGAGATGCCGAGTGTCGGTTCAAACGCTTGATTGTTGCAAACGACTTATTGCAGTCTAAATGATTGCAAACATGTTTTTTCAGTCTGCAGTGAACATCGTAACAATGATTGTATAGTTGTCGCTGAGTTGGGAAGTGTTTGTTGCAATCGGGTTTCGGACATAAATGTTGGCCACTAATCGGATCTAAATTGCCTTTCTTTGCCAACAATAGCCAATTTGGATCGCCATCAGTGGTGGCGGTCTTCTGATCTACAATTCTTTGACTAACTATTGTCGTTGACTTATCAATTGATTCGCTTTCTTCAGTAGTATTACTTATCAATCTATCGGCGACTGTTTTGTTGACAGTACTTGACGTGTCCTCCGGTTGCCAACAACCGTCGTCGTCGTCGTCACCAATGCTGTCCTCCTCCGCCACCACATCATCGGCGTCACAACAATCGGTATCATCTGATATGTCGGCATCACTTTGTGATAAATCTATTGACACTACTTCTGCTGTTTTAACGGCAATTGTCTTAACAGTCTTGACATTAGAAGCTGTAGTCTTCAAATTGGGAACTGCTGTGTGAACTGTTGTACTAGTTGTTGTTGTCGTACACGGATCAGCTAGTGATGAACTGATCTGATCGTTGGATTTATTTACACCACCGATGATGATATGATTAAACGCTTGTCTAATGTTATCAGTTAATTGTCTTTCTTTGCCAATTGTTTTGACTGCAGTTTTATGTCTTGTATTGTTGTTGTTGTTGTGGTCATCAATGGCTGTAATCATTGATTGCTTGAATGATTGCCACTGTTTATACTCTTTGGCTGTAATATAGTCTTCATATTTCTTGTGAATCAATTCCATGTGATCTTTGATTTCATTTAATAAATCTAAACATTTGTTTGTAAACAACAATTCATTGACGAGTCTGTTGTTTTCAGCGGTCAGTTCATCGATCAGATCCTCGACTTCGATGTTAACAACTATTGGATCAGTTTTAGTGATACTTCTTCTGATTGTTTTACGAACCATTATTTTTCTGTTTTTTTTAATTTACAAAAATATTTATTGAATTTTTATTTAACCATTCAATTCAATGATAACCAATAATTAATGATAACATTTATGATATAATGAAAACAATAATATAAAGTAATAATAATAATATACTTTTTTGAGGGATCTTTAATATATTGCATTAAAATAAAATACTGCATTAAATATTGAAGTAGAATGTAATCATATATTAATTATATAGTAATTATATTAATTATAAATTAATAATTTTTAAAAAAATTTAATATAAATTTTAATCATAGAAATTTAATTACCGGTAATTAATTTTTATTTATTGTTATACAATAATAACTTTTTATTTATTTATTTAAATAACTTATTAGCTTTTAAATTTCAAGATTATAAATAAAATATTTTATCAATTATATAAGAAAATTTATCAATTACCGATAATCACATTAAAAAAAATTGTTAATTTTATTGCAAAAATAAATTAATATAAAAACTTAATTATCAAATTAGATTATTAATAATATAAACGTTAGAAGTTACTAACCTATAAAAGTTAAAATAAAAAATTTATTAATTTAAAAAACACTATTAAAACATTTTATTTAATATCTTATATTTTCAATATATATTTATAACAAAATGATTTTTCAACAAATATTTCTATATAACACCGGCATCTTTGGCCAATGAATAGAAAATTGTTGTCCGATCATTGAGTAGAGCATCGGGTTCGGCAAACTCGGCTACCCGTCCATTGTTTAGTACTAACACACGATTATAGTCCATAATTGTATTGATTCGGTGAGCAATTGTTAAGATAGTAGAGGACTTGAACTCTTGTTTAATGGTTTGCTGTATAAGTGCATCAGTTTCGACATCGACGGCAGCCGTGGCCTCATCGAGGATAAGGACGCGAGTGTTGCGGAGCAGAGCCCGAGCCAGACATATAAGTTGTCGCTGACCGACACTTAGGTTATCACCCGATTCGGCTACCGAATAGTCGAGTCCCGATCCGCTTGAAATAACAAACTCTTTGAGATGTGAGTGTTCTAACACTGTCCACAATTCTTCATCAGAAAATTTGTCGAACGGATCCAAATTGGAGCGAATGGTTCCCGAAAAGAGTATCGGTTCTTGTGGTATGATTGTCAACCGTGATCTCAACTCATGGAGACCGAGTTTACTGATATCTATGCCATCAATAACAATGCGACCCATTGCTGGCTCAATGAGTCGAAACAGTGCCAAAGTTAGTGACGACTTTCCGGCACCGGTTCGGCCAACTATTCCTATCTGGTGTGAAATAAAATGCATATTATATCATATAATTTATATCTATAGACTACTGTATATCGTATATTACTGTAGATATTAATTATTTTATAATCATTAATACCTTTTCGCCGGAGTTTATATTGACATCAATATTATTGAGTACTAAATCCAATCCTTCCCGATATCGAGTACCGTATCCATCGAAATGCATGTTTCCATTCTCTGGCCAGTCTTCGGGTAGTTTTTGGTTTGACTGCCAATCAGCTTCCGGTTCTAGAGAACAGTATTCATCGATTCTTTCGATTGAAACCATATTATTTTCTAACATTGAGAATGTCATAATCAAACCGTTTAGATTTCCTGTTAATGTCAAGGCGTACGACAGGGACAGTCCTATTTGGCCGCCGGTCAGCCGTCCCTTTGATAGTATAGAAAACAGTGCGGCAAAAAGTATTAGACAATTGCTTAATGTTGTCAACCATATCTGTAGCCAACTGTTGGCCACAATATTAGGATAGAAACACATCTGATTGGTATCCACTCGATGATCGGATTCACCGATAAACTGTTGGCCGTAACCATACGCTCTAATACTGGACATACCGTTTAGTGTTTCGCTAAAATGCGAATATATTGGCGATCGGGTTAACGACTCTAATCTATAAAATTATTATATTTAGAAATAATATTATTATTAATATTCAGCAAATTAAATATTTTATTATTTTATTAGTTATTTTTATCTATGATATCAACAACAAAAACAACAAATAAAAATACCGTTTTAGTTGTCTAGAAGTTTTAATGTAAATAATCTATTAAAAAAATTAATTAAAAATTTATATCTATAAATAAAACTAATAATTTATTGTTATTCTAGGCTAACTTACTTGTATTATATAATAAATAACGGGTAGCACTGCTACAGGTATTAAAAACAACGGTGTTTGTATAGATACTGTAATAATTGTGCCAATAATTTGCAATGCATTATCATATAAGCCGCTAAATAAAATTGATAATATTTTTTATTAAATATATTATATAAGTTATAAAAAATATTATTTTTTTTAAATAAATAAATTATATCTTGATTTTTCAAAATAAATTATATATATATATTAATATAATGTAAATAATTGAACCTAATATTCATTACTAGTCCTATATCCAAAACATCTATATCGTTGCCAAACCGATTCATCAAACGGCCCATTGGTGTCGTATCAAAATATTTCATAGGCGCGTGCATTACTGTCGACAACAATTTTGTGTGCAAATTTCGTGAAGCCATTTGACAACCGATAACTAATAACAGTTTGCTAATTGACAAAAATATTGTTGTAAACAATATAATGATGCCATATATACCAACATAATAATAGTTATTATTATTATTATTATCATTATTGTCGCCAATAAGATTATTGCTCCAAAGGGACAGCCAAAAACTTGAGCCATACATGAGTATGTTTGTGATAATACCGGTGATTAGGATACCCAACGTATAGTGTCCAACATATTTGGCGTATTTAATATAGATCTGGATGATTAAAATCAGAGATTTATAATATAAAATAATATATAATTATATAAATAAAAATTTACACCAAAAAATTAAATAATTATATATATATAAATAAATAATTATATACATTAAATTTAACTTGACCAATTTGGGCAATTTCTTCATCAATTAATTTGCAATTATTGTCGACAATAGACGTATTATTGATTTCCCGTTCATACCGTTGCAAAATAATTTCCGACTCACTATTATTGTTATTATTATTATCGGGTTCACCAATAATTTTACAATTTATATTATCTACACTATTACTACTGCTATTTGAATTTAAATTGCTATCAACACTATCACAATTAGTAGCATAATATTGTTGTATTAAATCGGAAAAATATCTATTATTTGCCAACAATTCATTGTAAGTGCCAATTGCAGTGATTGATCCGTCTTTGATAACAACTATGCGGTCGACATTGGGTAACATAAATAGTTGATTTGTTACCAAAATACGAGTTTTGTGCCGCAAAATACCAGTTCGCGAATCGAGTACTTGATCTACAATGTGTTTACCCACATGACTGTCCACTGCTGATAACGGGTCGTCTAATAAGTATAGATCGGCACCGGAATATACGGCTCGGGCCAAACTTACTCTTTGTTTTTGACCGCCACTCAAATTGATACCTTTTTCGCCGATCTCTGTTTCATCGGCACCGGGCAATTGTTGTAAATCCTGTTTGAGCGCACAGTTATCTATAACTCTATTATAAAGTTTAGTATTCAACTGTTTTCCAAACAGAATATTCTGTTTGAGTGTCGTATTCTGAATCCATGACTGTTGGGGAACGTATGCTATGCTTATATCTGGCCTAATATTTACGGTACCATCAATTAGATCCATATCACCAAATAGGGCCGATATCAATGAACTCTTACCGGAACCGACATTGCCGACAATGGCCACAAACATGCCGTCCTCGACTGTCATGTTAATATTTTTTAATATGGTTTGTCTAGTAGTAGTAGCACAGGTAGTAGTATTAGTACTCTTATTCCATGAAAACATTGCATTTTCTATATTAATAACTGTTTGTTTATTTGCCATTGTATTAGTTGTTATATAATTTTTATGTTCATCGCAATTCAGGAATCGTTCAATACGTTTAAATGAAACAATTAACTTTATAATTAAATATAATGAATTATTTTATATCAGTATATAAAGTATATTATATTGGTTATGCAATATTAAATACATACAAATGAAAAAGTTAGATAAGCAATGGGCAATGAAAACATGCTCTCACGTAAAAAATTAAACAACGATAACGAAACAAATATTTTTTGGGCACTCAATTGTTTGCCGGTATCACTATTGATGACTTCATAGACACTGTAAGTAATAAACTGGACAACCAATGGACAGCTGAACGACAGGGCTATGAATATGACTATTAGATAACCCATTGTTTGTAATTTTCGTAACTCTTTTCGGCGGATTTTGGTTATGCAGCCCATGAACGCCTTCTCCCAGGCGTACAGCTATTATATATATATATATATATATATATATACCATAAAGATTAGTAGAAAAAATATAGTTATTGAGAAAAAACATTAAAAAAATTTTTAGTTTAATTTTTTTAGTAATCTGCTTTAGATAAATTGGTATTAATTAATATATATATATATATTTTTTTTATAATACAATATTACTGTGTCTTTGTGTTTAAGCGGGTGGGTGGGTGATTGGGTGTGTAAATAAAATAATAATAATACTTTTAACACTTTGATTCCGTTGAATATTTGGTTCATTAAATTAATTCTTTTGTCTTTAATTTTCATTTGTTGGCTTTGATTTAGTTTACAAAAATACAGTGCAATTGTATTGATGACTAGTGTGACCACTATAACGGCCAAACCGATAAACGCTGTGACACCCAATTGCACGTATAATAAATACAATGTTATGGCAATCTGTATGGGAGCGGACAACAGTGCTATCAGGTAATGGAGATTATCTGCGAAACAAATGTCAAATTAATTTTATTTTTTTTAAATAATGTTTTCAGTAACTCATACATAAAAAAAAATAATAAATACTAACCACTAATTCGTTGGCAATCAATGGCCATTAGATTAATAATTTCTCCGTTAGGTGTTTGCCGTTTGGCACCGTTGCTCAGTACCAATGATTTGCGATATATGGCCGATATTAGACACGATCGCATACGTAAACCTTTTTTAATTAATTATATTTTGTTAATCATTTTATCAATTTATTATTATAATAATATTATGTTTAAAAAAAACAATAAACATACCAATACTGCCAATATGTTCATTATAATTAGCCAATACAATGGCCACTAAAACATTTACAGTCACTAATAGTATAGTGTATACATAGCCGTGCCATTGAGGCTCGTTAGGGTCTTCAATATAATTAATTATTAAGCTAAAAGTTATTATTTTTAAAATAAAATTTTTAAGTACATAAATTCAATAATAATAATAATAATTATTATTAATAAATTAGTATCATAGTTAAATAATTTATATTGCATGTATATTTAGAATATTTATATTACTCCTATAACCTTGTTTAAAAATATAATTTATTACAATATTATAAATGACAGTAAATTAACATATAGATTATCTTATACATATATTATATATCAAAAATCCTATTTCAACAAAACTAAAATTAATTTTACTGTAAATTAATATTAATTTAAATATATATATATATATATATCATATAATCAAAAAATATATATATATATAATTCATAAATACTTTAAAATCATTGGCGATGACATTTGCAAACAATTGGATAATAGACACATAATAATTGAGCCAATAATTTTTGGAAAATATAATTTAAAAAGTGTCTTGATCACATTTTTATTTAAATTATTATTATTAGACTTAGTTATAGTGATTTTATAATTTTTCTGAAACCAAAAATTTCTAAAATATTTGTTACTAATGTTTAGACTTTTATCATTAGTAGTTGTAAACTGAACGTCACTATTATTATTATTATTTATGGTTTCGTCTAAATTAAACAAACGTTTGTTGAATAGTTTAAAATTAGTAAAAGTAGTATCAATTTGTCTCAGAGCCCACAGATCATCAAAAATGAGTGTATTTTTCCAGCCCTTCAACAATAGACTGTTCAACCATTGATAAGTGACTTTCAAAGGAAACGATGTCTTATCTTTGGGACACAAGTCGTGTTTGGTGTCGACACAAACAACACCAACATTGTCTTTACCGACACTTTTATCGGGTAGCCGATCGGCAAATAAACAATAAATAAATAGGATTACAGTTAATATATAATTAACACAATATAAGATGAATTCATAGTTTTTTAGTATATCTTGTGTGGCAAACGTGGCCACCGATAGAGCGCCTAATATAGTGTCCAATAGTAGATACAACCAAATCAAACCACCGCTGCTTACAATACCGTAGAGGCGTTGATAATAAAATACCAAACATAATACAAGTCGAGTGATGGTTGTAACAGCAGTGGACAGTATGTAAGCAATGGTGGGACTGTCATCCCATTGATATTTGCGGCACAAACTTAGTATAAGCTCCGACAAGACAATCCCGGTGCTCACTATTACTATAGCTAATCGACTGGTGTTAAAACAGTTCCATTGAATAGTATTTTTATGTGAATTACAGCATTGCTTTAGTAAATACGGTATGTATATCCACATAAATATACAGGGTATCCATGTAATCACTGTATCGATCATACATGAGCTCAGGTATGGCGATGCTGTAAACCACAGAGTACTGGTATCCTATTATTAATTAATATTTAGTTTTCTTTAAAATAATTATAAATTTTAACATAAATGTTAATAAAAAATTAATATTAAATTTATTAATTTTGTATAATAATTATTAGTTTAAATAATTTTTACCAATAGTTTACTGTTGCATATTTTAGCAAACATTGTAATTAAGTTATTAAAAATATAAATTTGATTATTAGTTAAAACTTTATTAATAATAATAGTAATAATGTATAAATTATTACAATTATTTGTTACAAATTTGATTAATTAATTATTATTAACTCTAAATAAATAAATTTGTAATACAATAATTTTTTTGCTTGCTAATAAGTTACTATACAATATAATATTATATGATTTTGCATTTTGAATTTTATAAATTAAAAAAACAAACTGCAATTATTCAACAGAAAAAATTAATTATTTAAAAATAATTAAACAAAATTAATGATTCATTAGACAAGAAAGATGAAAAAATTAATGTTAAAATTATATTTATTTTTATAATATTCAACCAAATTTATATATTTATAAATTAACATTAATAATATTGTATTTAATATAAATATTTATAATAATCAATTGATGAAATAATAATTTATATTTTTATACAGAAAATAACATTTAAAAAAATTTAAATATAAGTCAATATGATATAGAAAGTAATGAATAATATTCAGAAAAAAATAATTTAATTATTTAACAATATTTATTAATTTTATTTTATTTATGATGATTGTATGTAAATACAACCATTAGATAACCAATTGATTGTATTTTTAGTAACTCTTTTCGGCGGATTTTGTTTATCCAAATCATAAACGCCTCCTCCCAGGCGTACAACTGATTATATGATTTATAGATTAGTATCAATATTATAGTATACATAAAACATAACTTTTATGGACAAAAAAATAATTTGTAAATTTGTTTAATTTATATTTAATAATAACAATAAAAATATTTTTATATAATTAATTTACTTTTAAAACTTTGATTCCGTTAAATATTTGATTAATTAAATTGATTCTCTTATCTTTTAATAACATTTGTTGACTTTGAATGCCTTTAGAAAATAACATAAGAAATAAATTGATGACTAGTGTGACCACTATAACGGCCAAACCGATAAACGCTGTGACACCCAATTGTACGTATAGTAAATACAATGTTAAGGCAATCTGAATGGGAGCGGTTATCAGTGCTACAATGGCATGAAGATTATCTAAAAAAAATAAATAAAACAATAGTGTAATATATATAATAAAAACCGATTAAACAAATAATAAGTTTCAAGTAGTAATCAGTTTCCACAACTAAACATTATATGATATTTTTAAAAAAGAAAATAATAATAAATTGGTAAAAATTTTTCATATTTTAGTTTATTGTATCAAAATGTCTATTAAATATACCAAACTCTAGATACTAACCATTAATTCGTTGGCAATCAATGGCCATCAGATTAATAATTTCTCCGTTAGGTGTTTGCCGTTTGGCACCGTTGCTCAGTACCAATGATTTGCGATATATGGCCGATATTAGACACGATCGCATACGTAAAGCTTAAACAAACAATTTATATCAATTTATAGGTATAATTAATAAAAAATAATAATAATTATATGTAATAATTTTTCGTTATGAGAAATCATACAAAAGTTTACACATACTTTAAAATCATTGGTGATGCCATTTGCAAACAACTGGATAATATATTTAATATAACTGAACCAATTATTTTGGGAAAATAAATTTTAAAAATCACCATAACCAAATTTCTATTATCATTGATTTTCGTAATATTGATTTTATTTTTACTGAACCAAAAATTTTCAAAATATTTGTTACCTAAGTTTGGATTTTTATCGTAAATACTTTTAAACCTAATATCATTACTATTACTATCCAATACTGTAGTATCTAATTGAAGCCAATGTTTGCTAAATAGTTTAAAGTTTACAAAAGTGGTGTCAATAGGTCTCAGAGCCCACAGATCATCAAATATAAGTGTCTTTTTCCAGCCCTTCAACAATAGACTGTTCAGCCATTGATAGGTGACTTTCAAAGGAAACGATGTCCTATCTTTGGGACACAAGTCGTGTTTGGTGTCGACACCAACAACACCAACATTGTCTTTACAGACACTTTTATCGGGTAACCGATCGGCAAATAAACAATAAATAAATAGGATTACAGTTAACAAATAATTAACACAATATAAGATGAATTCATAGTTTTTTAGTATATCTTGTGTGGCAAACGTGGCCACCGATAGAGCGCCTAAAATAGTGTCCAATAGTAGGTACAGCCAAATCAAACCACCGCTGCTTACAATACCGTAGAGACGTTGATAATAAAATATCAGACATATTATAAGTCGGCTGACGGTTGTAACAGCAGTGGACAGTATGTAAGCAATGGTGGGACTGTCATCCCATTGATATTTCCGGCACAAACTTAATATGAGCTCCGATAGGGCAATACATGTGCTCACTAGGACTATAGCTAACCGACTGGTATTATAACAGTTCCATTGAATAATATTTCTACAAGAATTACAGCATTGCCAACATAGGTATGGTATGTATAGCAATATAAATATACAGGGTATCCATGTAATCAATGTGTCGATCATACATGAGCTTAGATATGGCGATGCTGTAAACCACAGAGTACTGGTATTCTATGAATGAAAAAAATATTAAATTAATTTTTTTAATCAAATAAATTAATTGATAATTAATGATAAAATTAATTTAAAATTTATATTATTAGTAATTTTTTAATAATTTATATATATATATATACAGTATATTAATATATATTAAAAGTAATTTTTACAAATAGCTCACTGTTGCAAATTTTATCAAACATTTCTAATTAAATTTCTAACTAAATAATAATATAGTTTTTTTAATATAAAATTAGTAAAAATAAATAAATGCATATTTATAATTTTTGCATGGTAATAATTATCTAGTATAATAAATATACAATATTTATAAATTATCTACATGATTCAGCAATACAACAATTACTGTAAACTTTGTATAAAATTAATACAGTATAAACTTTATGTAAATTCATGTAAACTTAATGTAAATGAAAATATAAATTAATAAAATTTATTATAATATCTGATGATTTATACTTAAAATAAATATATAATTTATTTTTATTTGATTTTATATTTTTATAATTTTCTAACAAAATTATTAACAATTAATAAATTATTTACCGGTAAATATAAACAATTTATTTCAATTATTAAAACCTATATAACTATATATATATATACAGTATATACGGTATTATAATAATAACAACTATAAATAAATTTAAACATAAAAAACATTGTTTAAGTTAATTTTGAATCATTATACTGTCGACAGTAGGTCTTTCCCAATTCAAACGTACTGATCATTATAGCACAGGCAGGCGCCACACGCATCAGTCGAGGAGTAATGCCGGTAAAGACGCCGCGCGCACCCGTTTCCCGATATATGTGCGCCAATAAAGCACTAGTTCTATAGACACCACTGGCACCACCACCACTTGTAGAGCCCATTTCAATCTGCCGATGAGTTTTGACGACATCAAACGGATGAGTAACTATGGCGGCTACTGTTCCGGCACTGGCACCGCATATAAAGCTAACCGGAACAGTAGGTTCTACCGGTGAACCAAAAGCGTGTTGTTTCATCGTTTCATAGACTGCCCAATAGATTGATGAAAACGGAGCGTCACGTAGTATAGTGGCAGTGATACCGGTCCATAGGGAACGATAGCCCTGTACTCTAATCATATGTCTGAGTGCTAGGGCCAGCTCACCGTAGGTGAACAGTTGACTTTGCATTTTGGTTTTGATCATTTCAAGTGGACTGATAATAACAGCGGCCAGTGTTCGGGCCACACTACCGGCCACTATCGGCACCCATAACGGTTGATAACGATTGATATAACCGAACTGTTTGTTGAGATGCACTCGAAACAGATCATAGCTGGTAAAGTAGACACCCATTCCCGGTATAACCATAGCTCTAGTAGTAATTGATTGTAAAAAAAAATCAACAAAAAAAAGTAGACATAAGTCAACACAACTTCGGATGGAAATGTATGCTCACATACAGTGTCGGCGGGAGTCCACTCCATAATGAGGTCAGACCTTCCGTACGACTCATTTTGATAAACATTTTCTTTTGAAATAAAAAATTAAAAAAAAATCCAAAAATCAGACCAATTTTTTTTGGATGTCATATACAGTGACTATCAATACAAACAAAAGTTTGACCAAATTGTCTGCCATTTCCTACGCCACCGGCGCTACCGATTGGCCGAGTATTGGTTGTTGACTGTCTGACTGAAGATTGGTTGTTGTTGTTGTTCATCAATGACTCCTTTTGTTGGGCCTGTATTCGTGTCTTCACCACATCCAGAGGTGTGACTAATAAAAAAAAATATAAAATAATAAAATCTGAGATTAGTTTAAAAAAAAATAAATTTCGGTATTTACTGACCGCACAGTGCCGTTACCGTTGCGCCGATACACGAACTCATCAGCCGCTGGACAGGTGTAAGACTTGATTCGGATTTCATTGCAACCGCTGCTGATGACGACGACCCGTCGGCGGTACTAATAATTATCGGTAATTTTGTGGCCATATTTTTCAGGACATTTAAAATCTTTTTTAACAACTGTTTATGTGATCACCACCACCAGCAACAACAACAATGATCTGCTCTTTAATTAAAATACAAAAATCAGTATCACTTTAATTGATTATCATATAACTGATCTCCAGAAACAAGTTTTTAGACCAAATGATAATCACATTATTATTATTATTATTATTGATATAATAAATGACAAAACATTTTGATTGCATCAGTGTATTGAACAGTTTAAATATCATTCACATACAACGTTACACTAAGATAGTGTGTGTGTGTGTGTGTATGTGTGTATGAAACTAAAGCTAGAATTACAATAGTAAGTCAATCATATTATTTAAGTGTAAGGGGCTATAAATATGTGTAATCAATGTCCCCCACCGTCATTATTGTCATTCAAAATACATTACTGTTCACATAAAACGTATCTTTAAATACTGTATATACTGTACCGGTATATGCAATGTGTTTACAAATGTGTTATTAAATTATTATTAAATTTATAATATTTTTGTTGACATTTGTTGTGATTATTATCATTGAAACAAACAAACAAATTGACCGAAACTTAATTATAATCTATAAAAAAATGTTTTATTGTCTAAACTGTTTGCGGAACCGATTGCGAAGTTTTGTTGGCATCAATACATCTCTAAGACAATTGTCTGTGTCTTCTTCTTCTTTATCGTCTTCGTCGTCGACGACTTCCGTAAACGAGTTGGTGGTCAACAACGACAACTTTACTATTGACCAATTGCTAGACATACCGGAGCGCGACTTTGTAGCCGTCGATATCGACACATTTAGCGATGTGATCGTTGATTACAGCAGTGGTGGCGTCGGCGGCGGCAGCGGTTGTAGCAGCGATTTTATCAAACGACGCGTACAACTCATTATCAGCGAATACGAGTACAAGAAGCTGACCGACGGCCGAGTGCCCAGAGAGTTGACTGACCAACATATGCGCGAACTATTGGATTTGGACAACAGTGCCGAACGGTGTCGTCAGTTGCAGTTCTGGGGCTGTATTGAGATCAAGCGACTCAAGACTAGACATATACGGGCTATGAAAGCCCAGTCGTCGTTGTCGTGTCCAACGGTTTATGAGAAAAAGCCGATCGGCATTTTCGGCGATAGCAGCGGCAGCGGCGAAGAACAGTTAGTTTACGGCCCATACCGTAACGGTCTGTTCCAGTTCTTTAATCGTTCGGCTGTCAAACGATTGCGCGCTCATTGCATGAGACGGGCGGCACTGTTTGGGCCGCGAGTGGTCATCGATTTGGACTTTGATCGCTATATGAAGGCCCGTGAGTCCAGACTACTGCTAAAACAGTTAAACTTTCTCTACAACTATAATCTAATGGAAACGAAAGAGCCGTTTGATTTGCATTTTGTGAATTGCAATTCAGATGAACTATCGATTCGTGAGATGCATCGGTACTTACCGAATGCCAGTTCCCGGAATTTTTGGGCTACATTTCACTATAACAAGTCCTATACGGATATATTTCCGAAAGAACGTCTGGTCTATTTGAGTCCGCATTCGGATTCAGTGCTTCGGGAGGTCAGCGACGACGATATCTACATAATTGGCGGTATTATAGACAAGTCGTACATCGAACCGATATCGCAGATCAAGGCCCGCGAAGATGGTATACGTTCGGCCAAATTGCCGCTAACCGAGACAGTCAAGTGGCAAAAGGGGACATTAAATTTGTGTATCAATCAGGTGTTGGCCATACTTCACGATTGGAAAATTACTGGTAATTGGGAGCTAGCGATTAAACGCAATGTGCCGTCGAGGAAATGGATGTCGACGACGACGATAGACGATAATGATATTATCGACAACAAAAAGTTAATGCAATTGAAAACTAGTTTATATGTTTGACACAATATGACTGATGAATTTAAATCAATATTATTTATATGTAAAATATATTTTTTTTTAATACCATAAGTAATAATTACCGTAAAAAAATAAATACAACAATTTTTTATGAACATTCATATGTTTTTTTTCTTCAAATTATCTTTTATAGTGCACCGGTAGTCATAAACCGGGCGACTAATGACACAAATGTGGTTTGAGGTTAAGGTGGACTACCATATGATTATTTAGTGCACTCTCTCGATAACAAACAAACAAAATAAATAAAACTTTTTGGTTAATAAAATGATTTTAAATGTTTTCTTAACCAATTTCTTTTTTGTTTATAATTTTTTTTTTGTGTATTTGTTTTGTTTGAATTTATTACATTTGTATCTATGAATATTAAAGTTGTATACCGGTACTTATAGTTAAATTATTTGATATCATTTGAAACGTTTAATATTTGTGTATGTGTGTGTATGTGTGTGTGTGTTAAATGTTATAAATAAAAATGATAATTATGTAAAGATATGAGTATTAAAAATATTTAATATACTGATAGTATTTTTTGAAAAATAAAATATCGGTACTTATATATTTCATTTAACAAAAAACATGATATTTAAAATATTAAATAATTAATATTTTTTTGTTAATACAATTCGTTAAAATTATTAAATATATCTTAAGTATCTAATTTTAATATTCATAAATATTAACAAAATTAATATCAAATACTAATAAAAAATAATAAATAAATTATATTAAAATACAAAAAAGTAATTGAAATAATTTTTTCTTAGATTAAGCAAAAATAATTACTAAAGTCATTTTAATAAATATAAAGTTTATTAATTTGTTTTAATAGATGATAGCTATATAAAAAACACAAACAAAATATTCACAAAAAATAGATAAAATAAATAATAATTATTATATTCATTGATTTGTTCAATTGATTTTTCTTAGAAATGTATTGCAAATAATATAACACTTAAACGATATAAATAAATATATGCAAAAATATGGTTATGAGTTAGTCATACAATCATTTAATTATCAAATTTATCAGAAAAACAGTTTAGACGTTTAGGGGAATTACGCGTGAAAATCAAATGCAATTTTAAATAAATAAATAAATTTTACATTAATATTAATTTTTAAAAATCGTTATTTTCATTTAAATTCAATAACGATAAACAAAATTCGTTAAATAAAACAAACAAAAATACATCAACTGTTTGATCCACAAGAAGTGATACAAACAAACTACTAATCAATCAATAAAAATGGCAAACATTCCAAAACTATTATATCGAAAGCCAGGAATACTTCGATCGGTTTACGGAAGGGAAGTGATTGGACTCAGAGATCAAGAGTTTCAGTCAACTGTTCAACAAAAAGATCTGAAAACAAATGAACCGATTATTGTGGCGGAAGTGTTTGGAACATCAGGAATACAAACAAGACAACAGCCAATCAATTATTTCGATCAATTGATACAAATTACAGGACAAATACAAGTCAATGATGAGGTCATTCACGGGTCTGTCATATGTTGGAACGAAAAAGACAATAAACAACTTATAATCATTGATTCCTCGACACTCATACCACAAGTAGAACATATATATCATATGCGAGATTCAGTATTTCCAGTACTGATRACASCAAACCATCGCCCGCTAACAAGATTTCCCGATGGCTACACTACAGGCATATATCTCGCACTCATGAAATCAAAACGAATTAAGACTGACACTCGGAATGTCCTTATTTTTGAAAGCCGTACTAAGATTAAAAAAGCCAACTGTTCGACACTTGAGGCAAATTTGATTTGTTTTATTCAATCGACAGTTAAAAAACGGTCGAATGTTCTGGTAATCAATTATCTGTTGGATGGCTACGACCAGTCAGTTATCGGTATACACGCGGCACTCAATCAGCCAATTGATCAAATGATTACCACCGAATTTGATCGAATACCCGATTATAATCACCGATTGACTAATCGCTATATGTTTCTCGTCGGCAACGATGGCTATCTATGTATTAATGAAGTCTTGGATTCAATGAAATATAACAATTCTTTGCTTAAAGAGAACACTTATTTCTGTTGCGACGGTAGCCTAGAATTGACAAATATATTAGCCGTTAAATTTATATTTACTAGATTTATAAGAAACACACCCTATCGGAAAACTATTCATATTATACCCGAAGGCGTACAATATATAAATATCTTACGAAAGGATTGTCAACCACTAAACACCGGCCAATTAAAGTCATACATATACGGCTGGTATACTGTATCAGATTATGCCCCAAAAGTACTTGAATTGGATTCAATACAATTGTACACTGATTTGTTAGGTCAACCAAATCCAGTTCATTCATATCAACCGGTGATGGTATTGGCCGATATCAACGATGCTTTGATCTATGAACATAAGTTCAACAACCAAGTGGTCGGCCATTTGCTGTTCTCTCTATCGACCAATCATTGCGACACCAGTTTATTTTTTGACATTTTCATGGTTTTCATTTGTTTAGACGAAACAAATTGGTCGACAGCCACTACATTGTATCAATTGGTCGGTGAATGTTCGGTAAATTATCAGAAATCGTGGATCAAAAACCAATTGAATGCACCGATGATCTGCTTTTTTGATAAAAATACTAATCAAAAGCCAGCGGTAAATCTAATTGATTTGACTGCCAATCAATTGAATCGATGGAAACCGAGATTAGATAAACCATTTCCAGTATTTGCCTTAACTACGAATTGGCGGACAATATTTTTGCCGTTTATCAATACAACACCAATCAATGGTTGGCTCAATGTTGGCGTCAATTTGGTTGAACGTCAACGAAGTATTGAAGTATTTGGTTTACAATTACCCAATGACTACGGCGTAACTCAAAAGAAACAACGGGTCTAATGATGATTACAAATATGTAGAGAGTATTTAGTTTGTCATATATTTTCATTGTATAAACATTTTGATTTTAAAAACTAATATTTGTCTGTTTCTTAATATACTTAAAGCTTGGTTTTAATACAACACTATTGAACGGTTGGCATAAAGTTAGCTTTTTACACTTCAGTTGTCTTTATTGGAGACACAAATCAAAAAAGTCAGACAAAAAAATTTTATTCAGAAATTTTTAAAAAATAAATCTTCAGTTCAATAATTGTTGCACTCTTTCGTCATTATTATTATTGTTTACATTTGATTTCGGCGTCGATTTACTTAACAATTGTCTCACTTTTTCATTTGAATCCACTTTTTTGATTTCAGTCGCGACAATACTTTTCTGCTTTGTTTTTGTCTGTTTTTTTTGATTTCAGTGGTGACAACACTTTTCAGCTTTAGTTTTGTCTGTTTTTTCATTACGGGATTCACTTCTTTCTTATTTTCAATTTTATTATTCTTCTTCTTCTTTGGATTTGTCTTCTTAAAGTTGATGACATTCATCTGAATTTGTTGTCCGCCATTATTCTTCGGTTTATCGACAGGTGTTTTGTTTTCATTTTTAAACACGTCTTCCATTCGCTTTTGAATGACTGAAAAATTTTCTGGTTTTTGATCGTCGGTTTGAATGTCGACTTTCTTCTMGATGTCAACCATTTGTATTACTTTTTTATCAAAATATATGGCAAAACCAAATCATCATTAGACCCGTTGTCTCTTTTGAGTTACGCCGTAATCATTGGGAAATTGTAAACCAAGCGTTTGAATAAATCGTTGACGTTTAGCCAAATTGACGCCAACATTACGCCAACCATTGACTGGTGTTGTATTGATAAACGGCAAAAAATTGTCCGCCAATTGTTAGTTAAGGCAAAAGCTGGAAATGGTTTATCTAATATCGGTTTCCATCGATTCAATTGATTGACTGTTAAATCAATTAGATTTACAGTTGGCTTTTTGTTAGAGTTTTTATCTGAATAGAAGATCTTCGGTGCTCTCAATTGGTTTTTGATCTCCGATTGCTTATACTGTACCGAACATTGACCGACCAATTGATACAATGTAGTGGCTGTCGACCAATTAGTTTCGTCTAAACAAATGAAAACCATGAATACTGAATCTCGCATTTCGGTAATTATTTTTGTAATTTGATCTAGTTTATTATTTATAACTTTTTAGTATTTGTTATTAATTTTATATTATTTATGAATATTAAAATTAGATAATTAATATATTATATTTAATAATTTTAACGAATTGTATTATTAAAAAATATTATATATTTAAAATTGTAAATATCATGTTTGTGTGTTAAATTAAATATAAGTACCGATAATTTTATTTATCATTTTTAACTGAATAAATGTATAACATAATTGATAATAACTTAAAAATAATAATTTATTAATACAAATATGCAAACAAAACAAACAAATAATACTAATTTCTGAAATCTGAAATGTTTTACAATCAAAATATATGGCAAAACCAAATCATCATTAGACCCGTTGTTTCTTTTGAGTTCCGTAATCATTGGGAAATTGCAAACCAAGCGCTTGAATAAGTCGTTGACGTTCAGCCAAATTGACGCCAACATTAAGCCAACGATTGATTGGTGTTGTATTGATAAACGGCAAAAACATTGACCGCCAAAGGGTAAGTATGCCAAAAGCTGGATAAGGTTTATCTAATCTCGGTTTCCATCGATTCAATTGGTCGGCAGTTAAATCAATAAGATTTACAGTTGGCTTTTTGTTAGAGTTTTTATCTGAATAGAAGATCTTCGGTGCTCTCAATTGGTTATTGTTCTCCGATTGCTGATACTGTACCGAACATTCACCGACCAATTGATACAATGTAGTGGCTGTCGACCAATTAGTTTCGTCTAAACAAATGAAAACCATGAAAATGTCGTAAAATAAACTGTGGCTGCAATAACTGTACGATAGAGAGAACAGTATGTGGCCGACCACTTGTTTGTTGAACTTGTATTCATAGATCAAAGCATCGTTGATGTCCATCAATACCATTACCGGTTGATATGAATGAACT